CCTCAGCTATATCATTTACTGGACCCAAATTGTCATTCCTACACACTGAATCTAAAAACTATCTGCCCTCACCAACACCTTACTTCAATTCTACTCAGAGTTCACTGTTCAGCTGATTCCCTAAAGTATAAGCAATTAAAACTCTCTTCCTAATATATAGAGATTTACAATGTAATCTTCAACATGTTTACTCTGAATTAAATTCAATCTGCCTTATTCCCACATAAATGGATCTAGGATTACAACCTTAGTTACCATAACAGTGCAAAATGTCAACACAGGTCTCCAATGCTATTGTTTGTCTCAAGAGTCCAAAGTAACACTGAAAAAAGCTGGAGTGGCAGGGCTTCCTAAACTGGGTGAAAATCTCAAATAGAGGCAAGCACACTTGACTTCAAGCGTCACTGGTGTACAACAGCATGCACAAAACGAAGCAGCAGTAACTCTTACTTACAATTTCAACAGCACATGGACTGTGGGAGTAAACCTCTCTGTATGTTTCTGGTATGAGCCAGTTGCATAGAGAGAGATGAGGGAGATCCTCTGCTTATCCTGCTATGTTTCTGACTGCCTCAAAGATTGCCTGGCATGAAAGAGCCAGAATAAACCCAGGAACAGCCAGATACCCCCCTTCATTGTGCAAAGACAAGCACTACATGATATGGGCTACAGTCACCCAGCAGTAAAATAGGATGCAATGGAGGCCACCGCTGAATCAGACAACTCCATCTTCTGTAACTCTTCACAAGTTTTACTTTAAGAAATGCCCCGAATTCAGGTTCAACTGCACAAAGAGCAAAGTAAATGGCCCTCTGGTGCCTTTTAAATTGCTGCAGAAAATATCAATACTGGCTTAAAACACCATAGCCAAAGCTATGCATGGCAAAGTATAGTTGTTTTGAATTAAACCATAGCATGCTAGCTTGACTGCATAATGTAAGTGTAATGAGAAAGGACTGTTACCCAGACAATTACATAATATAATGTGGAACCATGATAAAGCTAGCATGGCCCAACTACACCCCCGTTTTTTAAAAGATTGGTCAGAGTTCTCCTATGATTTTACATTGCAATAATGACAAGCAAACTGCACAACTGTTTTACGACTTTTACCCAACATATATGACTTCTCTCCAAGTGGACCAAAGAAACTCAAAGTCTTAACAATTAAAACAAGACTCCCAAACAGATGTTATATAGAAAAGCAAATTTTAGACTATCACAATAACCAGAAAGTTGAGGCAATAGTGTTTAGTCTATGGATAGTGCATAGTAGGTGCACAGGCAGATTCTCTTCCAGTCAGCCCAAGCACAATTAACACTTTCTACTTTTAATATCAGGGACGCGGGTGGCGCTGTGGGTTAAACCACAGAGCCTAGGACTTGCCGATCAGAAGGTCAGCAGTTCAAATCCCCGTGATGGGGTGAGCTCCTGTTGCTCGGTCCCTGCTCCTGCCAACCCAGCAGTCCGAAAGCACGTCAAAGTGCAAGTAGATAAATAGGTACCGCTCTGGCGGAAAGGTAAATGGCGTTTTCGTGCGCTGTTCTGGTTCGCCAGAAGCGGCTTAGTCATGCTGGCCACATGTACACCAGCTCCCTCGGCCAATAAAGCGAGATGAGCGCCGCAACCCCAGAGTCGGTCACAACTGAACCTAATAGTCAGGGGTTCCTTTACCTTTTACTATTAATATCACTAGCCATACCAGGAGCCCTATTAATGCCAGAGTTACTAAGCAGCAGCAGCATGAGCCAACAAAAACTTTTGATAAATCTTGAGTTAAAGACCACAGGTGATTACAACCACAGGTGATTACAACAGCTAAGAACACTATTTCAGTTTCATTCAAGCAACCTAAGGGCATGAGAGAGAACAGAATAATACATGAGCCACTCTGGGTTGAGGGGAAGACCAAATGTTTTCCCCCCACAAGCTACATACAAACAGCAAAATGGAACTTCAGTTTAACCTGATATCAGAATCAATGGCTGATGAGAAATAAAACTTGCGCCACAGCTGGAGAAAACATCCTAGTAAAATAACAATATTAGATCTACAGCCCATTCCAGGTAAATTATAGTTAGGGGCCTTACTTAGTATTAATTAAAAAAGACTAAGACAAAGTAAAGGAACACAGAATTATCAGTTTTAGTCCAAAAATGGAGAGGCTAGTAAGCTCCTGGGTTTATAAAACTCCAACTCTTCCCTTACACACCAGAATTTGCAGTTAGCAAAACATCCTTTAAAAATTATTAAATTGTCAGCTGCAATAAAATTTTGTTCATAAGATGCGATATATATTTTTTATCATTCAGGATAAAATATCTATGGCCACAGCAGTGGCTGAATTGTAGCTAGAAAGGAAATTGTCTTCAGATAAATGGTTTCCCTATGAGAAGGCTTCACCACTACACCTAGCTCCAGGTCAATAAATCAAATTAACTGCACCTTGTCCGCTGGCTAGTGACATCATCAGCTGGACCACATCTTTTTAAATAGGTGCAGAAACATATGCTTCTAAGGCATAAAACCATATTACATTTTTGTCTGGCCAACACCATGAAAGGGAAAACTTTGTAAGGGTGAAAAAAGGCAGAAGACCAATTACTTTAAAATAAAATAAAAACATCACGAAATTTACAAAAAATCAAACTGTTCCTGTATATGCAGCTCATAGTCATGCTTCAAGGACTGTTCAATATTAATCAGACATAGATACTGTAAAATATCCTGCTGTCAGGTTATTTTTCTGCACAGATTGAAGAGAATGGTCACTAATGAGGCCTACATAAATCTGTCAAGTGTGCTAGCACTATATTAATAGATACCACCTTTAAAATAATTAGGGAGAGAGCTACTGTAACTTACTAGGCATTGTGCCGAATTGAAATGTTTGTTTTAACTAAAAAAGTGTTCCTAGTTTCATTAAGTATAAGGAACATTCATCCTTTTTCAATCACTCTTTTTTCACCACTCATAATCGTTTTTAGCTTTAATACACATTTACTAGCTTTAAAGAAGACAACAGAATTATATACCAAACATATTCTGTCCACATCATTCAGATCCTAAATATCAAAATGGAAGTTATTTCTAATAACACCTCAGATTACTGCACATAATTTATAATGTGGGTTGTAGTGTCTAGATTGTCACTTATTCTATCATTGCTTGATAATACATACTATATTTATTACAAGTAACTGAATTGCTAATTTCAGGGAGATGCAGTTTTCAGTCCCTCAAACTGTAAGTGAGAAACTGTTTTTTCTACATGAAAAAGTCAATCAGGACAAAGGGAGAAGAAAGCCCCCCCCCTCCACTGCTCTATAAGGAGCAGCTTAGAAAGTCCTGTTGTTGCTATAAATTAAAAATAAGCCCCTTATATTTGAGGCATGAAGGGTGAAGGGGGGGGGGAGAGAAAGAGAGAGAGAGGAGCTGTGAGCAGATCTGATGCTGCTTATGCCCCAGGAGGGTTTTGTTTTTGCTGTCGGGGCTGAGAGGGGGCATTTTGGTTATTAGTAAATAAATCAAGCAGCAGAGAGTGAGGCCTAAGCGCCTGCCAAAGGAGTCCGGGCCTAGCTTTCCTCCCTCCCCTCCATACAGCCTGGGTTTGATCTCAAGGCCCTGCTCGTTGCCAAGAAAATGTAAAAAAGCCAGAGAGCGAGAAAGAAGAATCATATTGAACCACAAAAGCACATGGGGCGAATGTAAAATATAAACACGGCATTGGGCTCTGAGTGGCTGTTATTAAAGGCCTGAATTACTAAACATGAGAGGCGGGGAAAGCCGGGCGGCCATTTCAATAATATAAACCTCCCCGAATTAGACATTATTCAAATGAGAGAGAAGGAGACCAGAGACGGGGTTGGGGGAGGAGGAGGAGGAGGGAGGGAGAATTAGAAAGCAGCCACAGTCCGCTCGCGGCCAGCCGGCCACCCCGGAACCCTGACCCGGCCACCCCATAATAATAATAATATGGGGACGGGAGACAAGGCATTGTCAAGTGTCGTCTCCCTCCTCCTCTGCCGCCGCACCCCCCTACCCCACCCCCGCCGCTATGATCCGGTGCAAGCCATTCAAGGGCTCCCTCCACCTCGCAGAAGGGCAGGCGAAGATTTGTCAGGGCAGCCCCAGACACCTCCGGGGGGGGGGGGGAGACAAGCCGCCCCTTATAGATTTCCTGTAGGGGGCACACACACTCACACTCCAATTTGCACGCGCACTCTCTCTTACACACACACACGGAAGGAGGAAGCCCCCACTGCCGCCCCTCTCCCTCCCCTTAGGCCAGGCAGCCCTACCCCGAGAGTAACCCCAAACACCCCTTGTTTGGCGCGCAGGCCTCGGCCTCTGGGGGAAACAGGGCTGCCTTGGGAAAGGGGCGGAGGGGGGGGCGTTGCAGGGCGGGAGCCGAGGCGCTAAGAAAATAAAAATGAATAAATGCACGACTTCTCCCTCCTCCGCCCCCCTCCCTCCCCGTCCAATGCGACACCAGAGGGGCCGGGGGGTGCGGTTGCACCCGGGGACCGGTGAGGAGGCTGAAGGGGAAGGTGCTGCGCGCCCGCCGCTCCGTCCCTTCTTCCCAACCGCCGACACCCCCCCTCCCTCCACACCCCGGTCATTATGACGAAGCCCCCCCCCCGCCTCGCTTTTCCGCCGCTACCCCTATTATACAGTCTATATGAATATGTAAAGCGGCTTCGTGGTGGCGGCGGCGGTGCCCGGCCTAGCTGCCCGAGCAGGGCTCCTCAGGGCGAGGGTGGTGGTGCTGGTGGGGGACCCTGCCCGTTGCCCCCCGTCCCCCGGTGCCCGCGTGTCCCTCCGTGCGCCTCTCGCTTTTCCCCCGCGCGGCGGCCACCCCCCAGCTCCCTCCTGTGCCGTTAATTATAATAATCCTGAGTACTAATAAATTATGCTAAGCGGGGAAGGCGGGCGGCGGAGGGGGGGCGCCCGCGTGTGCGAGTATGAATATGAATATGTAAAATGCAGTAATGATTACCTGCCGCCACCGCCGCCGCCGAACTCTCATCTTGACTCGCTGCTCCTCCGTCCGCCATTTTGAATATTTTAATCAAAATCGGCCGCCCGATAAACCCTCCCTTGCTCGTTTGCCTCCTCGGCAGGGGCCCCCTCCCCACTCGCGGCGCCCTCTGCGCACGCGCGGCAGCGGCGGCTCCCCTCCCTCGGCCTCGCAGCCTTTACGCGGCCCGTGCGCATGAGGGCCTCCTCCCCTCGCTGAGAGGCGCCCGCTAGATGTGCGGGGAGGAGGGAGTCATTCGGGTGTCTCTGCCGCCTTTTCCCGCTCTTCGCCGCTTTGGGACCCGAGCGGGTGTCAGCAGCCTTCGTGGTGACAGGGGCTAGCTAGCAGGCTGCGCGCTTGGGGGGCATTTCCAAAAGGCTTATTGTTGTCCATAGGAAAAGCGCGCCCCGCGCATGTTAAGCAGGGCCGCCTCCCCTTAGTAGTCTGCGTTCGCCCGCATCCCACGAACTGAGCGCTCACCTGCGGGGAAATCTGAGCTAAGGGATTTATTATGGTCATTATTCGCACTTTGCTCCCTCTTCCGCCTCCCGGGAGCAGACGGGGAAGCCTGGCGTTGTCCTGCGCGCCTGCCCCGTTCTGCAATTCCAACACGTGCAGCCCAATCCTCTGCGTGTTTTATTTCCATGCACGTTTTCTCGGAAGTAAGTCCCGGTGCATTGAGCAGAGTTTACCTCCACATAAGAGTGCGTATATGTTAAAAAATATTATTAAACTATTTCCAGAATGAAATACGATTTTATTATATAAACCCCCCCCCCCGCGCGCAACAATTTTACAAAACCAATGGAAAATAAAAACCCACACATACAAATAACAAAACAGAATGAAACACCCCACTTTTCTAACCACAAAAAAATGGATTCTACTGAGGGACTGGCTTCCTTTGTCTCCTTGCAGTGAATAATTTTCACCCCAGTTGAGCTGGTTGTTACGACCATTTATTTGAGAACCGGTGTTTGAGTTTCGTTTTTTCCTCCTCCCTCCATCTCACTTTCCTTTTGTGTCATGTACTGTATTTTAGATTATATTCTTGAGGTCAGGAACTGTGTTGTTTGATTGTTTTAGAGTAACTGATCTGTAAGCCACTTTCAGAGCCTTTTGGCTAAAGGCAGGGTGAAAATGCCTTTAATGAATAATAAATAAATAAAGATCCACAAGGCTGTTTTTAATTTAAAAAAAATTAAAACAAACAGCAAGTGTCCCGTAAATACCAATCAGGGCCGAATTTAGATGAAGAGAGGCCCTATTCCACTTGTGAGGCCCCTCCCAACCCCCCACCCTCACGACTAGAAGAAAATGGAAGAGTGTTATAAACAAAATTGAGTGAAGCCAAGAATGATGATGGGTATTTAAAATTTTTCAATTCTCAGTTTCTCCTCTAAAGGACATAAGATGTTATTGTTAAATACCATGGTGATTTTAAAAAATGCATAATATTAACACTGAAAAACTTTTGCAATAACTTCACTTCGTAAACCTTTTGTGGAATAAGCATTAATTTTTAGGAAAATGAAGTTGCAATGTTATTCTTTAAAAAACAAAACACCTTGAGTTTACGAATTATATTGTCTGGGAAGTGTAAATAATATTGCCATTATTACCTGACAGTGTGGCACTTTTAGAATCTACTTTATGTTGTCATTAAAAAGTCAGTTTTAAAATATATATTAAGAAGTAAACTACAACCATCAAATACAGGAAGGCTAAAATGTTTTTCCCTAGCCTTCCTCATAGCAAAATCATCCAAAACTTCATCAAAATTTGTTTGTCTAAGTTTATCACTTTCAATGTACAGAATGCTCAGTGCGGACAACCTCTCTTGAGACATTGTGGCCCTTAATTCACTTTTAATTCTTTTGAGTCTTGAAAAACTCCTCTCTCCTGAGCAGTTAGTGGCCCAAAGGCCAAGAAATAGCTGCAAGATTGCTTCCACATTAGGAAAGGCCATATGAATTTTGTCCTTACATATAATTTGATAAAGGTCTGTATGAGACAGAGAATGCTCTGCTCTGGGCCTATGGCTTTGTGTCACGTACAGGTGAAAGTGCAAAAGTTTATCAATAGGTTTCAGGTCAATATCTTCTGGGTATGCTTCCATCAACTGTTCAACACCTTGCTTAATTTCTTGCTTAGATGCTGTCAAATTAGCAAAAATGGCAAACAATTGTGCAACATCACTGTACACAGTACTTCTTCTTTTTAAATTGGCTTCAAGTGCATCTTATAAAGGAGTAAAGGATTTTATCCTAAACGTATCTCTTGAAGAAAGTGCATCTAAGGCATCAGGTGCACTTCTGTCATTTCTTTGCCGTTCCCTCACTCTTTGTCTCCTTGTTTTGTAGTTGACATCTGGCAAGGTAGCTTTTGCTTGTTTCTCAAGCTCATCAAAATCATCTTGAATTTTCCTTTAAAAATCCAGAAGTGAACTGTACAAACTTGCACAAGAACTCAACAACAGCTCTGATTTTTGGAAGGCTTTGCTGACCTTGTGCAAATGACCTAGCACACGGGTCCAAAAATGCAGCCTAAACACAGATTCCAGTTCTTCCATTTCCTGCAAAAGATTGTTAGCTTGGAGCCTGGTCTCCCCCTTCCCATTAACATCAGAGTCAGGATGAGGTCCAGTTACCAACCTGCAACCTGGCCTCCTGCCTTCTACAGGTAGTTCTGGATCCCTCCGAGGTTCCCTTCCCACTGCTGCCTTCCCTGATCCCCAAGGCCTCTCTCTGCCTGTGCAATCTGCAGTGCATGCTGCAGGCACCAACAGGGCTCTGTGAAGTGTGAAAGATAGAGGGGTGAGGCCAGTGCCAGTCACATGTGCTTGCCTTGCTCTGTTCAAGCCAAGGAGGAGGGAAGGAATGGTAGAGACTTGGGAGAGCTCGCTTGCCTACTCTATCTGCCCCACTCACACTCTCCCACTGATTAAAGTGCAGCATGTACCACTACTGACCTGACCCTTGAGCTAGGGAAGGCTGTGCAGCTGTTTGTTGACTCTGGGCCTGCTGGCTCTAGATTCTAAGATGGAGTGTGAAGATACTCAACAGCCCAGCTTGTCAGGGCGAAAGTCCCTGCAGTTCTCTGCGGTTAGCAGAAGAAGGAAGTTCCAGCCAAATATAGGAGCAAAACAGCAGTCAGTAGACCACAATCTTTATTGTTGCGCAACAGGTCTGCACACAGAGTAAGAACCCTGAACATGGGTTACAAGCTCTTTGAAGACCTTCCCTCCCTACCCAGAATACATTTCCAGAACCACCATTGATTCATTGCTGATAAATCATCATCATGTCACAAGGAGGGAGGGGAGTTGTGAGGTTGCCCAAGTTCATCAACTTGCCCCAGTTATCAGATCAAGTTCCTAACACCTTAAGTACCCGCCAGCTAAAGAACAATAAAACTATTTGCGGGCACACGTGCTAACTCTGTCTGTGGTGCCTACCCTTTCCCCCAAAGAATGAGACAAGAGACTAGAGTATGGGTTCAAATTGGCCACAACTTAATTGAGCTTCAGAAATAGGGAACTTGGCACAGGCCTTGGCAGGTATCCCTCTCAGCCCGTCTAGCTGAGGATATGCAGGCTGGTGAGGTGCAGTGAGAGGGGACTGTAAAGCACAAACTTACACAGCATGCCCTTCCACTCACCTCATCCCAGGAGTCTGACCTACATGCCACCGCTCTAGGGCCAGGGACTCCCGGTTTACCCTATAACGGGCCCTGCAAGCGCTGCCACGTGGGAAGGGAGCATGAATGCATCCCCCCGACTTGATGATAGACTAAAGGCTACCTTGCCAAGGCCTAAAACCACCACCCCCTAAGGGCCTCGCCGCCAAGAGTTCCACAACCGAGGAGCAATCACCCATGCTCTGCCATCAAACCTTGCTGTCTAATGAGTCCATGAGGACTTGTCGCAAGTCGTGCAGCCAGAGGTTATTACCAAATGGTGTCAGATGCACTCCATCCGCCCTGAATATGCCAGCCATATCTGCCCTCATGGTGGGATGTGGGATAGAGAATCTGCCGATCTGCCGCATGTTATTGATGTGAGAGGGATTGGAAACCCCTCTCCAGCGCAGGTGGGGGAGGAGATTGGACCAGCCAGTGGCCATTGCTGGGTACAAGGCATGCAAGCTTTTTATATCTGCCCTTGCATCAAGGGTCAGGGCAATGCCTTTTTGTTCAACTAGATCATTTCCCCCCAGGTGCAAAATCAAGATTCTCGGAGGGCCATGCGCAGCTGTGGCCTTACTCAGCATGGGCATCAAGCCCGACCAACGCATGCTCCAGTGGCCCATCCAATGAATGCCTACCTTGGGGTGAATGTCAAGGTTACAACCCCCATTGTGCGACCAGGCATGCTCCGCCGCCCAATGGACAATGCTGTGCCCCACAACCCAGATCTTCGTGGTGGGCAAAGCTGCAAGAAAATTAAATTGCAAGTGTTAAGGAGGAGGAGCCAGGACGAATGTAGCTTTTGTAAGCTGCCGAGCGCCAGAGCCCCAAAGTCTTGATGCGGGTGGGGTCCCAACCCTGGAATGCCACTGAAGGGGCAGCCCCGATATGGAAGGAGTGCCTGGAATATTCTTGGGGGGTCTACTCCACAGGCCGCTATGACTTTGCGCAAGACTGCCGTGAATTGGAACCATGTCAAAGGACGTGTGTTTGCGTGCATGAAGAAAGGGCCCTTGCACTTGGCCGGACCCTGAAGAAGCGGCGTGTGTCCAGATATGGGCAGGGGCCCTCCTGTTCCGTAGGGGCCAGCGCCAGCGTGACCCCTTTTCGCAATTGATCAGTTTTTGAGGACCGAATCGTGACATTCACAGTATCCCCAGAGAACTTAATGTCTGTATCCGTCAACCCTGATTGAGGGGCCCCAGCCACCAAACACTCCCCAATGTGCATGGCACCAAAGAAGGCTAGGGAGAATGCTGCACGAAAGAGACGTGTTTCAAAATTTGACCAGATCTCTGGTATTTTTTTCCGAATTAGTTTGGGGAATGATGCGACGCTAGCCAGCCAGCAGCTTCTTGATGTGGAAGCTGTTGTAAGGGTCCGGCCAATATTTACAAAA